AGACCAACACATTCCAGGGATTAGAGAGCTCGGGCAGGTTTGCCATTGAAATAAGTTCTTTTTTTTTCTTGTATTAAAAAGAATTTGCTATGACAACAGGAAAAAAAAATCCCATTTCAGTGTAATTAATTTGACATGGTGACTTTGCTCCACTCAACAGTTTGATGTGGTGATGACATGTTTCACTGTAGGAGAGGTCAAACACATCAGAGACAGTTATTAGAGCTGAAGGTTCACATGAAAATGGCAGATTGTTCAAGTACCTGCAACAGTAGAGCTGAAGTGATTAATCGACTAATCGGTCAATAGTCAAGTTAATCAGAAAGCATTCTGAGAATTAGATAATCATTTCATTCATTTTGTGTGTTAGGGTCGAACTGCACAACCCAACACATGCTGTGTGTTCTTCGTTAGGACAGGGACTGAGGTTGTTTCCAGTTATTTATCTATCGTTCAAATAATTTGTTTAAAACCAAAGACAATTTATTTATATTTAATAGATAAAGTTAAGAAGAAAAATATGGAACTGTCCAACATTACATCCAGGATTTTGCCAGCCACAGGGCTTAGAGGGATAGAAATGTAATCATTACCTACTAACCACTATGTCTATGGAGGGGTAGGTACAATGTTTGAGTCCAGTCAACAGCGTTGCAGCCAAATCCAATACAACTGAAATAAATGGCAACCACTTCTTCAAACGAGAAAAAACATTACCTGCCTCCATACTGCTCCTGGAGTGTCATCCGAGTGTCCGTTAGCCCCGAAATTTAAATTCGACACGAAACAGCTTCATATGCATCGTGTTTTAGCCTAAATGTCCTCTGATATCCTCCGAGCCAGGAGCCGTGTTCAAGCTCGCACAAGCTCTTGCCCAAGGGGCGCGAGACGAGATCAGCAAGAACTTGCCATTTACTTCAATTGTATTGGATTTGGCTGCAACACTGTTTACCCCTGAGACTCCAAAAGGGTTCTATGGACTCAAACACTTCACCCACCCGTCCATCAGCATAGTGGTGAGTAGATAATGAGTGAATTTTCATTTTTGGGTGAAATTGTCATTTGTTTGAAAGTGAGTGAACACATTTTCATAAAAAAATATAAAGACTATATGAACAGTATTAAGGTAATACTGAGGTAAGTATTTTTACAGCATTTTACCAACAAGTCAACCACTGGTAGTTGTTCTCAAAGCATGTAACATTAACGAATGCTCACTGCACCCGTGAAAACTGTTCCATTATTACTGATCACATTTTACGACAATGATTCGAGTTCAGGTTGCATCTATGTTAATAATCATATCATTATGTATTACTGTTCAATACTTGTGTGAAGTAGAGAATAAAATACAGTAGTAGTAGTAATATTATAGCGATAACTATAAATAAGTTCAGATCTTAATCTACCCACTGGTTTTCCATCATAATATCTTATTTCAGCTAATATGGTCGTTAAACTGACTTTTCTTCAATGCAGCATTAAAGAGGTTTTGAAGTCTAAAATGTAACTTTGTGAACTCTACAGAAATCGTGACCATCAGTATTTATCACACACCACCAGCTGACATGTGAACGTCTCCTCAGGGGATATTCTCCAGATGTCATTTCCTCCTTTAGACACGATTGATGCATAGAAACATTCAGCTCTTTCTGGTGTTAACTAAAGTGACATAATGATTTAGTGGCCGTGCAGAGACCTCTGCTCCCTCCACAGGAAACTCTCCGCTCTGTCCATGCGGAGTTAGAGTCAGAGTCCTGCTGCGTAAAGTGTGCTGCCTCTCTCGGCTCCTGCCTCCCCACGGGTCACCTCCATGACCCCCTCGGCAGAGAGAGTCAGATGGCAGCGATGCCTCAGTAACTTTAACCCCTGATAACTTGACCCATGAACCCCGTCGTGACCCCCAAACAAAGACTGTGGCGTTTTCTTTATCAGAGCCCGACATGTTTTTGTTAGTGTGCACAGGGATGTGAGTTATACATGTTTCAGTACAAGCCAGAAAGTTGTAATAAAAGACAGAAACTTTGATAGACGTTTGCGATAACAGAGACAAAGGAGCTATCAGACCGACTGTGGGAAGCTCTAAGACGAAATATTCAGACGTATTAGCAACATTCCTGAAAACCTTTTGTGTTTTAAAACAGGCCAGCGCAGTGAAAAGCTTCAAGAGAAGGATACTTAAGATTCCTGAAAATCTTCTCAATAGCTCCAGAGTTCATGGAACACTCAGCATGTTTAAAACTTGACATTCAGCGATTGCGGAACAGACTGCGCTGAAACAAAAGGCAAAGAATGGGATTGTCCTGTTTTCCTCTGAGAATACTGTATATAGTATTACGCCGTCGCCTGTCACATGCAAGATAAAGTTTTATTCCCATCAGGTCAGGTTAATTTATGTTCTTCAGATGAAAAGGGAGCCACATGAGAGTGGAGCACAGAGGAGGGCGCTGCTGTGTGCGTCAAGAGGGAGGAAGGCTGCCATTCACAGAGCATGTAATACAGTACTTCCCCTTGTTTGACAATGATGCCGTCCTAAATCCACAGGACAAAGACACTTAAGGTGGCTTGTACATGTGTGTGTGTGCTCTTGTACTTCTATCGTTGTAAGGATCAATTTGAGTTTTAGACAGAGACAGCAAGGACACTGATGTGCAGTGAAATGCTCTGTTAACTTATGGGTGTCGGCGTTGTGTCCGTCTATTATTTCTCTACATCAAATCAATATTTCTAACTAGTTGTAAGCTTTATATACATTCTATGGTTGTAAGCCATGTTTTCTGAAGCTGTGAGTGTTCAATGCAAAAGACAACAAATAAGTACAATACATGCTAATGGAAAATCCATTTGACAACACACAGGCTTGTGGTTTCCATAGTTTGTGAATCTTTAAGTTCTTTTTATTGGCTATCCCTCAGTGATGTTGGAAAATTAGATGAAATATACATTTTTATGCTTCTTCTCAAATTCAGATGTGCAGAAATGCTGTTAACCTAGCGTTCGCCTCATGTGTATTATTAGCCTTCCAATTCTGGTGATGACAAAATACACTAAATTAATTGACATGCTAGCTTTGTCTTTTTCAGATCATCGTGTATCATCTTTACTGTGGCTTCGTTAATCCGAAAAAAGAGACAAAGCTAGTATGTTTTATAAATGTGGAAAGCTTGTTTCCCAATAAATTCATTTTCATATAATTATTAAACTTGATAAACTGAATCTCTGGAAAATACTTAGAGATTAAAATGTAATTTTAACAATTCCTTGTGTAGCTCGGTTCACTGGGGACACACTATAAACTAATGATCCCCCAATCTTCACACACACACACACAGGACAGTTATGTAACATCTTCTTTTCTACTCAGTCACTGTATATGCTGAGAAAAGTCTCTCTTTTCTTTTATTCTCTCTGTGGTTTTCTATAATTCAATATACCTATTAAGTAGCTATTCGACTCTGATGACAGCAGCAATGTATATGTTATTGTTGTCGTGCATATCACTGTGTGTTCACTTGCAAAGCAGCACATGGGCGGGTTTATCAAGGGAGGAAACCTTATACTATGTCAGCGCTTTTATTCTCTGGTGCTGACGCTTGAAACTTTTTCAACTCTACATTTTAGGATTAAGAATCAGAAACTACGTTATCTCTCCAGCTGTAAATGATTTTAAAAAAATGAATCTACTGAACTTAACTGTATAAACAGACGATAAATGTTTATGTAAAAGAACTCTGATGATGTTTCAAGGCTACAGATCAAACTCAAAAGTCTGTCGTGTGTGTGTGTGTTTGTGTGTGTTTGTATACTGTCTATTATTTGAGTATGTTGTTTTTTATGTTGTAGGCTTTAAATATAACAGAATATTAGAACTACTGCCAGCCATCTTTGACAGCATTAGACTGTGAAGTTATCAGTATAGAGGAATAATTCCGTTTGGTCAGGATATGAAGCGATGGATTCGTTGATGAAACGTTTTCTCTCCAAAACACTGAAAACTAAACAGAGTCTATCAGCTGACACTGATCCCACATCAGTGCTCGATTTTAAATCTGTGTCAACCAAACTGCACAGAACACAATAGAGACACTTGTATATAAAGTAACTGGAGATCAGGGAGGGATGAGGCAGTAAAATAAGTTGGTGGCCCATGTTTCACTGAATGAATATACAGGACAACAGAAATGATGAATCTTATGAAACTGGGCAACATTGAGCCAGAGTATCATTTCATAGCTCTATATGAGTCACTTAGGAACAGTTATGTTGTATATGTTTAAACTTGGCTAATAAATAGAACTAAATACAATCTTTAATCTTGCAGAAAATATCAACAGTAAGATATATAAAACTAGTCTTGATGTAATTTGTTCCTGACTGTGGATTTGAAGGTTTTCACTTCACCTGCAAAACCTCAAGTGATCTGTTTATTTGTGGAACTAATGGTTCAGCATGTTGTTCTGTTTATACTTAAATGTGAAGGTTGTGTGTGGCTGCCTTAAAAACCCTTCATACTGTGATTTGTGTAAAATACCTCAGCGAGGTTCAGTGGTGTTGTTCCGGTTCAGGAGCCGCAGAGACGAAGCCGCTGTTCTGTTTGAAATGTCACTTTTTATCATCTGAGAGACACTGAGGTCATTTCTGCTTCTTGACTCGTTCTGCTGAGCTTTGTGTCACTGTTTTGACTTCACGTGTTATTATGACTTTATGATTCACTGCAGAGCGGTTGTATTTATCCCGCAGTGTCTGGGTCACAGTGAAAACTGAGACATTGACAATCTGCAGGATAAACAGCATTTGACTATGTTGTGTCTCCCTGTCTCTGAGGTTAGAGATGATCAGGCAATCTTGGCAGATTTCTTTGGTCGGTTGCAGCCTGCAAGGGTCAAATATTAATACCAAGAGACTGGAGGAACACATGAACTCAACATTTAAAACTGTTATTATCTTTTATTTATGCAAAAACAACAGCTTTAAGGAACAATTGGTGTTATGAAGAAAAACCTATAGTTGTTCTCAAACTAGATGGATGTTGTAAAAAATGAGGGATTGTTCTTAGAAAAATAAAAATACAAGGGAAGCAGACTTATATTCTATCTTAGATATCAACAGCAAAAATATGTGTTTTTGTGTAAAAATCCATCTTTCCTGAGAAACTGATGTCAGGAAAGGTGATTAAAGAAAAAATCCTGGATCAGCCTCTTTAACCAGATCCTTAGTGAGGTGAAATGTTTTCTCCTTGGCCTGTGCTTGTAGCCAGTCACCCCTCCACCCAGCGGGTGTGAATCCGTTCTGTACTCTTTGCATAATCCTTCTGATGAACAGACACACAGACAAGAGCACAGTACAATCAGGTAGGTTCAGGTCCATGTCATCGCCATGTGGAAACCTAATGTTCATTCACTTCAGAGTGACTATGATCCCTGAGACTGATGAAGTTGGTTTCTCGTGATAAAAGACAAACAGATGAACGACTCTTGGTAAAATCTTAAACCAGTGACTCCCACACAGTCTGGCAGTCTGAGTCCTGACTGTGCAGGGAACTTAATCCAGTGTCTGAGTCGTCATCGTTCACACTGTGAACTTTGGACAGACCCCTGGCCTGCTCCACCCACTCACTCTTCCTCTCCAAAGTGCTCATCATCATCATCATCCCTGTCTTATCACCACTGGCTGTCCCTTCCTCCATGTCCAAAGTGTTCACTTTCTCCAGCAAATCCCTCATCTCCTTCTCCCTCGCATCACAAATCTCCTGGCTCAGCTCTAAATCGCTCCTAATAGCTTCTAAATCCGTGTTGAGGCGCAGACCGATGTACAAACTCGCATCTAACTGTGTTCTGATCCTCTCTCCTTCCAAAAGCAGCTCATTTTCTGCTGTAGTGTCTGGCTCCGTGCAGCAGGGGGCGGGCTGTTCGCCCTCGCCGGCCTCAGTGTCTCTGCTCTGCAGCTCCTCTCTCCTCCTCTGCATCCAGCGGCGGTTCAGCTCCTCTTGGACCTGCACCGTGATGATGTCCACGTGAGCCTCCTGCTCCCACAGCTCCTCTTGCAGTCTCACCACCTCCTCACACCGCAGCACATACTCCTCAAACTTTACAAGTGTCTCAGTTGGACACACTTTGTCTTCCTCGCGGCTGGAAGCTGCGGCTGCATCCACCAGATACGTGTCCTGAACGTAGTTCACCCCGTGTCTTTTGATTCTGTCGAAATGCACCTTCGCCTCGCACGTCTCGATCTCTGCGTCCAGCTCAGTGATCCTCTGGATCTGCTGCCGGATGGTGTGATCCTGAGACACCACGAGATGAACCAGAGTCTCCATCTTCTCCGCAGCGGACGCGTCTCTGTGCGCCACCTTTGCCCTCTTCTTATTTATCTTCTCCAACTTTCTGAAAGCTTTCCTGACGATCCGGCGCTGTTTCTCCGGTGAGATGCGCCCCAGCGGAGACCGTGCGGAGCCTTTGGTAACAAACGGGCTCTGTTTGCTCCGCACCACCCGCGCCTCTGCGCTCCGGGCTCCGTGGTTCGCCAGAGACGCTTCGCTCTTCACCAACACGAACTTCACGTTCTTCTGCTCGTCTCCCCACGCGACCCAGAGCCGTAACATCTTTGTTTTGTTCGGTAGAATCCTCTCGAAGCCTCTCCATTTCTCCACGATACAGTAGGACTGAGCCGCGGAGAGGCCGTGCGGGGAGTCCTGCTCCTCCACCAGCACTTTGACCACATCAGAGCAGGTGGTGCGCTTCGACAGACCGAGGACGAGCTTCTCCTCTCTGCAGACCCACACTGAAATCGTACTCTCCTCCATCGTGAGCTCTTGTTAAACTCTGTTTCTTATAAATAAATGAAGAAAAAAGTCAATCCGAGGACATGTTTGAATCCACATGTCTGGAGAAAAGCGCGGCGGTACCCAAACTCATTTCCTCTGCGTGCGTAATGCGCGCTGCTGCGTGCTGGTCGCATGCGAGTGGTCTGGAGGTTTGCACTTCCATGTGTCCTCCGGTGCACTTTGGGGCCCAGTCAAAGAAACACTTCTCCCTCATAAGTACTGCCTCTGATCACATGACTCACACCAGAGACAGAGGAGTTCATAGTGTGGTGAGTGGTTTTGTGCCACAGTCTGAAGACATGAGTGACTTTAGTAAATACACAGTTTATCAGCAGCAGTCTCAGTTCCGTAATGAAAAATAAAAATTCAATATTTTTTGTTTCAATCTTACTGATCTGACAACCAGTAATTATCACTTCCCCATTGAGAATATTGGGACTAAAGTCATAATAACATAGATGTTTCTTAGCTGCATAATTATTCATTGAGTACTTGACACCGACAGCTGTATGTTAGTTCCTCCAGCTCTGGATATAAATGTCATTAAATAAGTTTACTATCAGGTCTGGTGAGCCAGCTTAGGGAACCTGTGATATATACATTTAGCACCGAGTTGTTGCTTTTTTCTATAGGTGAATCTGAGTCAGGTTAAGACTCCACCATCATGGTCAGCGATGGAGTATTAAATGATATTAACACTGAAATAAAGTGAAAATAAAGCACAACACAATCAGAAATCTGAGCAGTGACGTGTTCAATGATCTGGATATGCAGTCCTTTGTTATGAGTGACAGAGCTCAGACTCTGGATTGAGTTATTTAAGTAGTAATGATAATAAAACTTTTATTTCGCAGTGTCCAGACACCCTAAGGACACCTCACAAAGTAAAACCAAGTTAAAAATCAGGTAAAGAGGCACAGACAGCCTAACTACATCATATGTGAACACAAAAACAATGGTTCAAATCAGGCTCGATCTTATGATACACGGCTGAGAATTAATACTGTACAGTGATGCTGTTAGTAAAGGTCATTGACACTTTGGTTAAAGGTACTGTCGTCTTTGTCTTTGTTGGGGACACTCCCATACATGAAAAGTCTCATAGCTTTTAGTTCCTCTTCTTGTTTTTTCTCATTGTTTGTTTCCTGGTTTGAATGTCGGGGTTTACGGACACTTGGATGACAGCACAGGAGCAGTATGGAGATATTTCATGTTTTTTTCTGTTGTTTCTTTACGTTTGAGGAACCGGTTGGATTTTGCTGCAACACTGTTTACCCATGAAACTCCACCCCTCCATCCGCACAGTGGTGACTAGATAATGAGTACATTTTTATATTTGGGTGAACTATCCCTTTAAAGTTAATGTTCTGTTGGGTCAGTCCTGCCGATCAGAGGCCTGCACCTCCAGCATATCTGAAACACTGTTTTGTTTGTAGAGGTAGAGACTGAGTGCGTGAACAATAGGTCCGAATCATAACAGTGATCAAATTAAAGTAAGTTTATGTAGTGGACACTGCTGCCTCCTGTTGTTCATATCTAGTAATAGCATCATACTTTCCTAAAACCAAACAGAGCCATAGTTGTAATAATACAGACTTGATATGAAGACATTTAACCTAAACCTAAATAAAGCATTATTAAATGCCAACCCAGTAAATAACCCAAATAATTCACTTGAGTATAATACAATGTTACGAAGAGTCAGTGACTGCTGACTAATAGTAAATCACATTGTCATGCTGATGTCAGGCAGCCTTCACTAAAATGTTCTATCTCTTACAGTTGATACGTGCTCAAGAAAAAACTGCCTTGAACCACAGAGCTGTTGTACCCCTCACTTCTGAGAAAACACCATAAACGTCCACATGGTGGCGCAATGCACTACAAAAGACCGACACATCTGTTCACTGTAAAGGGGGAATCTATGCACTGAAACAAAATGTGAAAATGTGCTCAGTTAATAAACCTTTAGGTGCCACATGGTCAACAGCATTAAAGCATTTAATCTTAATTTGAGAGAGTTTCTGACCTGAATGCATCTGCTCCAAAAGTTTCCATAAACAGGGTCAGTGTTCTAGTGCAAGAACTTATTTGATGATTTCTGATGTTGTATGTTTACACTGATGTCAGTAATAAAGCCCAACATTTGTAATTTCATTAGATAGTGATCTTTCACTGAGATATCATGCTATATCAAACACACATTGTCTCCAGCAAGGACTTTACTTTTTGGAATCTAAACTATTATTCCTTTAATCATTTAAATGGAGCACCAGGTTTTGATCTCAGATTTTAGATGTGGCGACACTTTCTTTTAAGTTGGGCAATATTAAATTCTCAAATATTTGATATTTAATATTTTATTGCTTTTGTACTTTACTGTTTTTTTTTCCAATATATTTTTTCTAGTCTTCTGTTTTTTTATATGTCGTCAGCCTGTTCAGCACATTGGTGAAATGAAGTTGTTTTAAAATAAATACAAATATACTTTGACTAGTTATATAAGAACAGACATAACATGAGATACTCATGTATTTGCTTTTACTTTGACAGTGTCTCCTTTTGGTGACTGTCCCTGTTACACTGGTCTACATGAAACTGTTGATAAAGTGACTGGCTTCATCTGCTGTTGATCTGAGGTGTTTGCAGTTTAAGAGTTAAACATATGTTGCCTCCTTCCAGCATGAATCAACCAGTGTGTTGGAAAACACTGACGTTTTTTTCTGAAGTGACAACAAAAGATCGACATGTTTCAAATTTATTTAACTTCAGTATTTGCATACATAGAAAGTATCTAGAAAGCTACAAAATAACTATATTATCAAGAAGGCATCATAATGTTACGGAGCAAAGACACGACCATATGCAGAACACAGAAACATAGCAGAGCTTCTTTTCTCTCCTTCTGCTCCAACACTTTACCGTCATGGATATGAGAAGATATCACACATCTGTACCAAGAAAAGCCAAGATATCGTTTTGTACAAAGCACCTTTTTACAAAGAATAAAAGTCTGCACACAAAACCCAAATGTGCGCATGACGACTATATGTGAGCCATGTGAAGAATCACTTTAAAGCCACCATCGGAGAATGGTCATGAAACAAAAAGGTACCAGTACCTACAGAATTACAAAACACAAGCTAAACTGCTGATTTGTTTGTAGCATGATTCCTCAACTTAGCTGATTTTTTAAAAACATTTTTGTGTCCATTTCCTCTTCAAACGGTCCACCTGACATTCACGCCACTGGAGGCCTCAGCCCTGCTGTTTTTCTACGTGTTGAGACGACATGTCAAAATGTACCAGCAGTGCAGCAGTAACATCATTACCATCGTATTGGGCTTGCAATATACGGACAATGTCATCACAAAACCAAGTACAACTGTATACAAGTACAATAAGAACATCTCACTAAGTAATAATCAATAAATGTGAACAGATACACAGGGTAAACATAAGAAAAGGCCTGTTTAACACTCCAGTGTCCACAGGACTGTGGCAAAAATACTGAATGATTGATTTTATCTGCATCCACCAGAGATATTGTCTGCAATTATCTAGAGCTCATCTCGATTAAAATACATTAGATGATTAAATTGTAAGAAACAGTAAGAGTCTGAGTAACTATGGTCCTTAACGGCGATACGTATTTTGACCTTGACGGCCTCGTCCACAGCAGCAGTGAATGAAACAGCATTTTAAACAGAATTTGGAAACAATTTCAGATTTTGCCGCATTAAAACAGTTCCATATTATTTTCTGGAAATTGCTCAACAGACTTACTGATAATAATGAATTATAATTATATATAATTATAAAAAGCTTGTTGGTCCCTGCATCGCCGACATCACAGCTGTGTCTGCGTCGTCAAAGGTAAGGTAAGGTAAGGTCGGATGTTTTCTGTGGTTTTCACATTGGGGTCTCGGGAAAGAGGAAAATACCTTTTTTCTCATTATAAAATAAACAAAACACTTGAACCTGCAAGTGTGCACGAAGCAGACGAGTTAGGGTTGACATCCTGCGTGCAGTCAGCGGCTGCACGTTATCAGAAGAGAAAGGTTTTCTTCAAATACATCATCATTAGTGAAATCAATTGAAAATAAAATGTATAGATCATTTCTTTTACCAGTATCCAGCTTTCCCCTGCTGACTTTACAAACAAAAGGCAATGTGGTGATCGGTTTCACTTGTGTCTCCTTTTTTGGTCTAGCAACATTTTAATTTTTAAGTTTGTGTTTTGTCTTTTTGAAGCTGTAAATTTTAAACCGAAGGCACTTCCTTGCTACCATGCAGGACAGAAGATTGACTGTATCTCTGGTTTTTTGGTCTGTTACAACAGGAAAGGCAGTCGGTCTGTGTTTAAAGTACACTACAGAAAAAGACTGAGATTTTAGGACATATTTAAACAGAGTTTAGAGAAAAATAAAACCTGTAACGCGACAGATTTTGACCTAAAATTTGCAAACGGACTCACAATTTAAAAGTATTCTGCCTCTGGAAAAACAAACAACAAACACTGGATTTTTCAGAGTGTACTGGTCTTTTTTCCTGTCTCATCCACAAAATAGTTTTTCAACTTGAAACAAAGCAAAGGGTGATGTCAGGATATAATCTAAGGCACTGTACACTTACACTTTGGCTGTTTGTAATATGAATTTCTTACACGATGCAAACTTATAAAGGGTCTTTCCACGTATAGAGATCACAGTATTTGTGGCATGTTTTGGAGTTCACACACAGCTATAAGATGTTTAAGGCTCGGGATCAGTGTAGGCCACAGAAACATATGAAAGTGAAGGAGTTATTACGCTGCCATCCCAGAGGGGGAACGAGATTCTGAGTGTTTCAGGGGGCAAAGCCACAACACGCTGAACAATGTCTGCTGTCTACAAGTGACTTACAGTGTTATGATTACAGAAACCACAGATCTAAGAGAAAGATAAATCAGAAAGGTGAGGGAGGGGAACAAAGTGCTTTTGGACTAGTTGAGTCTGGTCGGAGGAAATTCTCAGTTGTGGCAGAGGAAAGACTCGATTGCAGCACAGAGATGATTAACAGGTGGGAAAGATTTCCCTTCATTTATGTTGTAGACTCAGGCAAAACATTTGTATTGTATTTTTTTTTACAGTGCATTCATTCTGCTCGTAGTGTTTGATTTGGAGTGCTTCATTGGGGATAAATATACGTCTGTACTTTCAGCGACTGTAAATGTAGTGTGTTACTTTTGTTTCTTTGGAAAATCTATTGGCTGTTGGTGCATGTCTGTATATCTACAGTATATATGCTCACAAATCATAAACTACAGACATACGAAACCCACGCAAACATATTACACAGACCACATGAGGCTACTGGTAGAAAAGGCCAGTATCCTTTTTTTTTTCCTAGTCTACGAGACGAAGCAGAAGACGACACACAGATTTCTATTTACCAAATGAATCAAGTAAATTCTTAGTATACTAAGTACGGCCACATTTATGCCCAACAGAGACCAACTCAACGTAGTTTAAACATCCCGTATTTAAACATAAAACAACTGTACCGCAATTCACAGCTGCAGTCAAATAACAAACACTTATATTCAAACAAAATTTATAGCGACTGACTTCAGCCGATACCATGACCAGAAAGTGTTGTAGGTGGGACTTTCAGGTAGAGGCACTGCCGCTTGTTTTTGAGGTTGGTAAGTCTGTGAAAAGAAGGGGCTTCTCATTCCTTCACCAGTCTGTAGATGTGATGCTGGGCGCCATGCTCGCTGTTTGAAACCTCGAACACACACGCCATACATAGGAGCGTCTCCTGGGTGTCCCTATTCGTCACCACCTGCAACAGAAAGGACTGTCAGTAGTGTAATCAGTGTGGACTGAAGTCAGGGCAAGAAAAAGGACTTGACTTGTCAACAAATGTGTAATCAAAAGACCAGAGGCCAGATTTATTAAAGGTTCAGTGTGTAGAATGTAGTGACATCTAGTGGTGAGGTTGCATGTTGCAGCTGAACACCCCTCACCTCACCTTCTCCTTCCAAACATGAAAGAGAACCTGTGGTGACCTTCAGATGTCATAAAAACTCAAAGGTTTAGTTTGGCTTGTCTGGGCTATAAAAAACATGGCGGCCTCCGTAGAGAGGACCCGCTCCTGATGTAAAGAAAAAGTATTGAAATATAAAGGGCCTGTTCTGGGGTCAAGAAAACAACAATTCGTACAATTTGGATAAAACACTCTGACTATTTTATATTCAATTTCTGCCAATAGATCCCTTGCACCTAAATCTTACACACTGAACCTTTAATAACTAAAACTATAACTAGTGTCATAATTTTGCTAGAGGTCAGAGGTAAATTGAGCCTCAGTTCCAACCCAGTGTACTTATTAATAATTTTACCTGCTCCACCTGTGAGATCTGTCAGTGACAAAGAGGCACAATTTTACAGACTGTGTCATATCAGTGAGCTTCCTCTGAATTGCATGCAATTATATCTGCCAGCTTTGCACTTATAATTTATATGTATATAAATATATATGTATATGTTTGTCTACTGGACCTTGCATCCTTGATATAGTTTTTTATTTCCTCCTGATGTGATTCACAAGCGTCTTTGTCTCTAATAAAGGTTTTAAACATGGAGTCATTCAGTAATAAAACAAAGTGTAATGTTGAGTCAACAGTCTGAGCGGTTTGCTCTCTGCCTGAATAATTCCCAGTAGTTTCACAAGGTAAAGGATTAATTTATTCATGAAGACAATGATGACAGAAAATTGTTGACTGAGTGCACAAGTTAATGAAATACATTTTTGCTAATTCCTTCAAACATAATTTATCACCTTATTTTAAAAGTCACTTAACAAAGCATCAGCGGTTGATTAAAGTATAAACTTAAAATTGAACAAAAGCATTTTTGCTTCCACCTGCTGCTTTTGTTTCTTTTCTTTTTGAGTCAGTAGGAAGAATTTGTTAATTTACAATCATTTCTAAAAGCAAAAAATTTAAGAGGAATCTCATGGTGGTATTTTTACAATCATCCTCACCTTATATACTTTTAAGAAATGGGACCCTGGTTCACATCCTGAGTGCGCCCCCTTCCACATATGAATGTATGTCTTTCTTTTTATTTATATTTTCTTTGTCAATAGTGGTGAATGACATTTTAAGACCCCATGTGATGGTTATAACAGGGGTTTCTCCTGCCACCTCCCTTTTCCCCTACAGATAATGAGGCTCCTCACACGGCGTTTCATCCTGGAATGAGAGGAATGTGACACCAGCGAGAGGAACTCATCTGTAGACAACACCACCCCCATTTTTCTCCGAAAGCTAGACGGAGCCACCAACACACCCTGCCAGCAGTGAGGAGAGGAAGAAGAATGAGGGTCCCTGCAGAGGGACCTCACCCACTCAGTTCAGTGAAGTGATTACCAGTAAGATGGTGAAGTTCTCCAGCACACTGTTCATCATGTATTTCTCTGGTAGATGTTTTAGCTTATGGATGAAGTTAATCATGTATTCACACATGGGAGACCGGCTTATTCGGTAAACGAAGCGTCCATTCTCAAACCGTGCGTATTCAGTCTGTGGAACAAGAGATCAAAATAAATACGCAACAAAAACATATTATATACACATGTAGTGCACAATCACAGACTTTTAATCATTGCTCTGATTAAAATTATGTAAAGTCCGTACCTCAACTTTCTCGACGACCTGCTTGCCAAAGGAGCACACCTTCGTAGAACATGTGATGGTCATGTTCTCTGAGCTCTCATACTGACTTGTGACGCCATAGAAAGAGCCGGTATCATCCTGAATGTTGCAGTTCAAGTCGGCCTGAGGAGCAGAAAAAAAAAGGGCATCAAGTGTCAATGAAGATATGAATATAATGTCCCCATTAGAGGTTAAAACACAAACAGATAAATACAGTGTGTTACAGTGTATACTGTCCTTAGTAAACTGAATAATTATAAGAATCCCTGTGAGGTCCTTGCACATCTGTAGTTGTGTATTCAAGGTATTTAAGACAACACATCAGTCTGGTTAACCAAAGGCAGACTATAAATGCCTTTAGTAAATTAGACCAAACACAGGCATCCAAGCACTAACAAAAAGTGTGTTGCCATTCGGACATTATTTTGAATATCTACACAACGGTGCAAAGAATCCCCACATCAAAACTCAAGTTAAATCAAAAGCATATCTGGCCCTTTAGATGCTTTATGCTTCACGTAATTCAATATCAAGTACCAAACTGTCTGTTTGGTGCAGAGCAGACAGTTTACAGTGGGATTGTAGAGGCTTTTCCTCTGTGAGCAGCTGAACAGGTGAGAGAATTGAGTGAACCAAGACTGAAACTGAGCTGATGGAAGCTGCAGATTCAAGCGATAACTGACTGTTTTCACATTGTCATTCTCATAAGAGACTCACACTAGCATCAACATACAAGTGTCTGGATTTTTTTTTATACTTAGTATAGAGCACACAGTGTAGTATTGAAATGGGGACACTACATATCTGTGGCTTTGGTTTTAACATGCTAACTGTAAAATGTGTCAAACTCTGCATTAAGAATTTATGATCACAGTGCTGCCGAGATTGAAAATCAAATTAGAAGATCTCAGGCAGCATCTGAATACGTATGTTAATGTGTCCATATTGGAAACAAGATTGTAAGAAGGATTAAATGAAGTTACATTAAAAGAATGATTTATAATGTTGACCCGCTCTGCTCCCAGAGGGAAGCCTTTCTATGCCCTGAACATCCTGTTCATTATGGACACAAAGAGAGGAGACGTCCTCCTACAACATTCTCCTCCTTCATTAAGCAAAGCAGTTATATGTTCATTATTGTGCAGATTCTGTCTTTCATTTGAAATTTAGATTGGTCGCTCACTTCAAAAGGAATTTGAAGGGACTTGGTCCAAGTGCATGCGGTCTCTACTTTGTTGGCTGCCGCTAGTTAGCATTTTGCATCAAGGAGGAAATACATGCAATGTTTAAACAGCCATTAGGAGTGCAACTAGGTCACTCCATTGTTTGGAGATATTACACTGAATTAGTGAGTGCTTTGATCAAAAGCTCTCCTGCTATGCAAGTCCAAATATAGCAGGGTGCATTCTGCAAACATTAAGAGAGCAGTCATGACTGTGTGGAGTGATTACAACCAGTAACTAAAGACGAACCTGAACAGACTATTACTTAACTACAAACATCCCACAATGTGCAAAACATTACTAATGGTATTAAGACCACTGTGAGAGTAAAACATCATCAATCTGCAACGCTGACATTTTATTTCTTTATCGAATCCATGTCAAATAACACTCACCCAGAATTTTATAAGGAAGAAGGAGTTCTGTGGACCTTTCCCATACAGCTCCTTCAGTCCACCTTTCTTTTCAGGGAATTTATCATAAATCTGACGAATGTCCACCGACTCCAGCAGGGCGTCGCTGTAGGAATGATTTGTCTGGCCGATATGTACAAATAGGTGCTTGTTGTACTGAAAAAGAAAACAAATATATAATATTAGGAACATATATTAAAATGTGTATTTCAAGTTGTATTATTATCATTTGGAAAAGTAAAATAAATATCTCTTCTGAATTCAACAGTAGAGTCTCATGTAAAACAGACAAATTAATCAATAAAATGATTGCACATCCACAAAGTGAATATACAAAGATCTGCTGAAGTAAAATAAGACAATTATAGTAATTTAACACCACCTATAGCCAGAGTTAGATTGGTAACAATATACTCTACTCTGATGATGTGAAATAACCCTTAGATTAAAATTAGGCTGCTTAAAATGATTCTGCTAACAAACAAAAAGATCCCCTTATGTGTGTTCATCAAGGCAGGGATGCTGGATATTAATGTTTGACATTATTATAATAAGAAAGAAAGATCAATCGTGAGCTTTAAATGAGGTAAAATAATTCAGGCTGATGGTAGAAGAGTATAATTCAGTCTTCAATCACATGAAAAGCAACATCTCTGCATCAAAGCAACAATCACCTGAATTGACAATATGAAATAACACTGAGGTTTGTTCTATTGCTTTAAACTTTTCAACTGAGAATATTTGAATTATGATTTTACAAAGTGAATAAAACGGCTCTGTTGAGCCTAAAACCCATGATGCATTGCCAACAGCAGAAAAGAAGCAGCAAATCAGAGAATAACATTTGATTTCCAGAGGTTTGTTGCCCTCACTGTGACAATATGAAACTGTCATGTGGCAACTGCACTTCAGTCTAAAAGCTCACAGAGCAGCCACTGTAGCACATGGCCTTTAGGGCACTGCTGCATGTAAGATTAATGGCCATTGTCACGCCATATCAATACCAAAAGAGAGTGAGTGCACAGGAAAATGTAGACAAACATTAAAGCAAGCAAGAAATGTGAGCTGCTGATATATGAACTCATAGTGAGTCTGTGGTTTATCCCGCTGCGCTGAAGTCTGCAGTTTAAATATAGTTTTGGCAAATCTTTTTAAGTAGCTGATAAATATACAGAATTTTTGCAGGTTTTCCTGCTGTGCGTCTCTGCACACAAGACGTTTCCTTCCTCAGCTTGTTTTGGCCTCCTCTCGGCTGACCCTTCTGCCTGAGAAATTGTCCCAGTGTATTCATAGAGGAACGGCCTGCACGATAAGAGGTGTGAATTAACACGAGATAGATTTCATGCTGTAGTATGATGCTTTACTTACTGAGTCTGGGTCTCTCTGTTGCTCTAGGAAAGCGGAGAACTCCACCAGTCGGAGTTTAGATGTACCGATGGAGCGGCCCTGCCATGCTGGTGCGGTGGGAGCTGGAGCTGCTGTGGGTTCGTAACCTGAAGTAAAACCAGAGTAAGATTCATCCTCTCACAGGGTTGTCTGACAGCATTAATTGTGTCATTTAAAAGTAAATAAAAAAAATTTCATATGAGATGTACTGTTTATTTAGGGACATCTGCTGAGAGTCAGGTTTAAGTGCACCAAAATTAGTAGTTAGAAGTTACTCATGGCAACACCAGACCTTTTGCCGCACTCATTTAATTCTTGACTTGTTTGAAGTTTGTTTGTTTGTAAGAAAGATTTCACAATAACACTGAGCGGATTTCCTCGAAACTAAGTAAAAGGACATGGGCAAAGGAATCCATTAAATGATGGTGTGGGGTCACATGGGAACTTCGAGTGGTCAGGCAATTTTCAAAATTTTGATTTCTCAGAGAATAACATGGTTATTTATGCACAATATGGTGCATATCCAAATACAAATCTGGTTCCACTGAATTTAAAAGAGAGTTTCATAAGTTTCATAATTGGACGGTTGAGGTATGGCAAAAAAAAGAATGAGGCAACATGTTGTATAACTATGACTTTTTGTTGATTTCTCTCTTGCAATAATAATTGTGCAACATGAACTGCTTAAACTGATTAGATTTTTAGTCTCAAACCAGATCCTCAAATCCCAACATTAACTTTAGTCCCTTCTTCCTGGAGCTACACAGCAGATAAGGAGCTCTGGGGTAAAAGGTTCAAGGTAAAAAAAAAAAAAAATCTGTAAACAGACTCCATCTCCATCTTGTTTCACATCAAAAAGTGATCAGATCAAGCAGGGAAGAGATGAGGGAGTGAGTCTGATCATCAGTTGGTTTATGATTAAAGTTATCAAAGAAGAGCAAAACCAAAGTGTACAAAATTGCAAAAAAAAAGTGTGACGTTCATTATGGATTCATGAAAGTTTTTAAATGAGGTAAATTCTTACTTGAAATGGCAGTTGTGACTGCTGGCTGAGTGGGATAGGCTTGCTGGGTGAAAGGCTTAATACTGGACCAGAGAAAGAAACAAAATGTAAAACACACTCATTTTAAGTGCAAATTTTCGACTCTGACATCAAGGTGTGATACTTACTCTTGTGACGATCCCGGCTGACCGGTCGATATCATACCCTGCCATAACTGGACAATAAAATATATAAATATACAACAAAGTACAAACAACAAAGAACATCCAATTGTGAGCAGCTGTGAGCTACAAGATCAAACTGGCTTTTCGCTCCGTGTTCAGTGGATGTAGTTATCTTGACTACCACTTCTTTTGATCATCTGCTTATCTGATAGGCACAAATAAGATGCAGTGTGTAATGTGATTTGGACTGGATGTCGGTGTGTTTGGCCCCCTGGCTGCTCGGGGTGAAGCTGGCCCCGGGAGGATCAAAAGCAGGGGGTTGGGGCTGGGGGTGGTGCTGCCGCTGATGAGGCTCTTACCCCTGCTCCGGGGAAGGCTGGGCGCGGGATGCCTGGCAGGCCGAGCTTGTTGTGAATCGCTGTGGCAGAGACGATCTGAGCCGAGGACATGGAGGCCATGCTCTGGAGGGCTTTGTCCTTCACGGCTTGGTCCTTTAACAGCAGTCACAAAAGGCTTAGCACCCACACAGAGAGGAGAGGGGGGGGTGCAGAGGCAGCAACAACCAGACTCTAAACAACACACTGAAAGCACCACTGACCTCTCTCACAACAGCAAACAGCAAGCAGGTTAAAAAGAAGATGTATCAGCATTGCTATTTAAGTGTAGGCTTTTTTTTTAAGGAATGTGTCAAACAATTACCACTGAATTCCAATACACAATGCTTAGCAGTGGTATGCACTTAAATGAAAGTTTGCTTGTTGACTAATCTACCTCTAATACTTTTTAAACACTTGTTCAGCAGCCGTACTATCAAGACTGCATTTATCTAAACATTGTGAGGAATTTTTCCAGCTACACTGAAGGACACCAGTGACACTCTGAGAGTCTTTCACAGTTCTGGTTAGGCTTTTTACCTATTGCTAATTTAATTATCCAGCTATATATTAATTAATTAAAAATAGACATGCTTAATTAACAGGATGGTAATTTAAGAAGAACCAAAAAAGCACTGGGAAGTAGTCACTTGTCATATAGGTAGTGTTGGGGGGGTGTATCTATTGCATATTTTCAAAGAGTAACCTGCTCTTGTTAACTCTTCCAGAATTACCAAGCCTAGCTATAATGTGCATTAATGTAGTTATTTCAAGTCGAGCAGAACTTGCAGAAATCACTGTAAAAGTTGCAGCAGAGGGCGCACACACACACACCCGGGCGAACCCATGCATTCTCACTGGTGACAAAAGCTGAAGGTGAGCATGCTGGCAGTATGACAATAGTATGATGACACACAGACACTGATAAACTGGGTTAACAATGGGCAGCAGCTAACACATGACGAGCAGCCAGAGGACGACGCAGGCCCTAGTTAAAGCACAGAGGGCATCACACACACACACCATGAATACTTACCATACTTGTAACCTAAATGCAAACAAACAGGGCTTTAGTGTAAATCTGTAGAGTAATTCAACATTTTTCAAAATGCTTAAGTTTGCTCCAAACGTCGGTAATAAACAATTTTTATTTAAGTATCCTGGTGTCTTTACACAGTACAACAAACACGTGAAAAGAACCCCTCGTGACAAAGGATTATAACATTTGTATTTACAAATTATCCTAAATTTCTGCGGCAAATGTCTTGTCCTTTATAATTTTTCACAATCTGATCAGTGGTCTTCGTTCCAGACAGAAAAACAGAGCAGTAACATAATGACTGTCAATTCACTAAAATGCCATTGACAGGACCAGAAACAGCAGGTTTTCATTGATGCCCCCTGAAATGAGGGGCACACTTGTACTTCTCTTTGCTACTGAACTCTAATTTGCTTTAAATGAGAAAAGACAGGGATTCATACAAAAGCTGTCTGTTTTTCTTCAGACTGCTGCCTGTGCCCCTGAAAGCATTCATGTGGCTAGCTGCCTGTCTGACTCTGTCTCCACACACACACACACACACACACACACACACACACACACACACACACAGTCATAGATCACTTTTGGGGACATTACATACACTTGCATTCATTTCCAGCAGTTTTACGCTAACCCTTAACCACTACTTGCCTCACCCAAACCCTTATCCACTGACCCAAAAATGATCTTTTTCCCAACTGAGGGATTTTTTTTCTGAAGCTTTCGTCCCCTTTTATATGAGCCACCCCAAAATCACTGGTCTTTCAGTCTGAAATGTCCCCAAAGGTAGCCTAGGACAAACATACACACAGAGAGATTAATGAGGGCTCATTAATTTGTGTTGAACATAAGAAAAGTGTGAAAGTCAAAACTTATAGCAGGCTCTCTGAGAAGAGAAGAGAATGGCAAATGAGTGAAGTATCTTTTCATATCTAAACATTACATAGAATATCTTGAAATACAAATCAGAGTTATTCAAGAGTTCGTCATTCACGGTGATTTCTTTTTAATAAGCCATTCTGAAAAACTTTCTTCTGTGACTTTTTTAACAGATGTCACTGTTGCTGTAATAACTGACAGGAACGCTCCGAAATGACGACATCTGAACGGGGAGGAAGCAAAGCGACAAACAGCCATGGCATTGTGAGAGCCCAGAGTTATTAACAGACTGAAGGGAGAACAAGAAAGCAGAAAGGGCATTTCAGAAACAGCAAGCTTCACGGCCATTCTCCGCTCTGAATGCGCAACACTCAGCCTTTGACAGCGGGGAAAAGTTGGGTTACCTTATCAAAGGAGTTAGACAAGTAATTGCCTTTTTTCTTTTAAACACAGACCCCCTATGCCATGCTCCGTTTTTTAAATAAATTCTGCTTGTTAGAGAAAAGCAGACCGATTCCCTCTGACAGCCAGCATGCACTTTTTTTTTTTAAATTTCTTATGTATAGATTTTTTATAGGGAGTAAAAATTAGAGCCTGATCAGTAAGTAGACTGTAAATAGTTATATCAGTTGTTGTAACATAAAAGTTGTTTCAACTTTATTTATATGCATTCTAGTGTCAATCTGTCCACTGTTTATTTCAAGATTGTTCAATGAATTTCAAATGTTTTGTCATGAAATGTGATATAAACTTTTATGATCTCCAGAGGATGAGTCCCACTGACCAAAGACCTCTCTTGACTTACTTGTTTATGGTTTTGAGGGAAGTGCCTCAACAACTATTGGATAGATTGCCGTGAAATTTAATACACACATTGATGCCCCGATAAATTGTTATTATGGTGATCCCATTACGTTTCATTTCAAAACTTAAAAAACGAATTTAATGTGTATTTATTGGCTGTTGTGCCAATGTTTTTTTTATTTGATGCTAGCATGGTGTGCTCTCCTGCTCTCCTGATTTTTTTCTACTGCTATTCGTCAGATTTCCAAGAAAGTTTATACACATTCAGGCCCAGCTTGGGATAAATTATAATTATTTGGTGATCCCATTACTTTTAAATTCAAAACTTTAAAACATTTGTATGCTAATGTGTTTAGTGCATCGTCAGAGCTGCTAGCCAAATTGTTTCTGTGACTACATTTATATTGGTCAAATTGTTAAAAAGAAAACTACTAAAAGAAATGTTTTACATGATGTGTATTGGTTAGTGAATGCTGGCCATTATTCAGTTTATATATCTTTTATAACTGTCAATATCCATAATGGACCTGAAAAGTTCAGCATCTGTCAGTTAGTTGTATAATCAAAAAATAAAGTACCAGTATCATTTTCTGAGAATGCTAACAATTTATGAATTTGATTTATTATAATCACTTGAAATAAAAACTGTCTTCACTATATTCATAGCATTGATGCTGATATGATGAGCAGCCAAGCTCAAAGCAAAGTGCCCATACAGAAAAATGAATAAATGTAGATAAAATCACATGGACAGAATGGGTGAGAGATGGAGCGAGAGGGTGGAGGGGTTAGAAAATGTGAGGAGACCACAGTCAGTAGAGGATTAGGGTTAGAGGGTAAATCAGAGCACCAGGCATTCACTCCGTCACCACAGGAAACAGGAAGTTAAGACTCACAGCAACCGACAAGCCCAAAAGCAGAAAAGCGCATACCTTTAGCTTGGAATGAAACTCACGAGATTTCCTTCTGGCAAGAACCTGAATGTGACTAGACACCTGCGGGGGAGGGGAGGGGAGGAAAACAAAGGAAGAGCCTGTAACCATGGCAATGAAAAGCCCCCTACAACTGGGCAAAGCCAGACGTACCTTAATGGCAGCTTGGATTTCTCGAACTTTCTTTCTTGCTAAGACCTGTATGTGACTAGACACCTCCATTAAAACAGAGAAGAGGGAGTATAAAAAAAACAAAAGAAAAATACAAAGTGGATTACACAGTTCTTTGTTTAAAAACACTTGAGGGAGATAAGGTGGTTAACAGCAGCACACACCAAGCTAACAGCAAGTAAAGCATTATGCTGCGTGTTGTCGTTACTTAAGTGAACTGATTAAGGAGGATGCAGGCCCCTTTAGCACACATTAAGACATACAGATGTGATCTGCTGTGTGCTGAATGAGAATCTGCTCGTCTTGTATTCTTTCGGGAGCTGGGCGAGGCATTTCACCAGCCAAGTTCACACAGTTCTAAATTATTTAATAT